TTATATTAGAATATTTTTTATTTAAAACCGATGAGTTTTCGGAAGCTCTTAAAAACGTATATTTTATTTTGTTGTTTTACATATTTTAAGATTTTTAAAATTATACAGGGGTGTTTCATAAAAATATGACCATTGAGTAATCGCGATTCTACTTAAACTGCCCGGCTTGTTTTAAAGCTGATGATTTTTGACAAACGGATTGACTGTGGGGTGTAGAGATTCCATAAGGAGGGTTTCTCGATTCCAAGAGGGTGAAAATACCCCTCAAATATTACAATATTTGTTATTTAAAAACGGTTAGTCTTTCAGGAGAAAACAACTTGGACACGCATAATTTATTTTTGTTTTTACATATTTTGAATTTTTTAAAAAATCATACTGGGTGTTCAAAAGGTTATGGGTAGTGGTCCTTGCAATTCTGTAACTGCTTGGCGTAAAGTGGCTGGGTTAGGTTTGGGTGGGGTTGAACAGTTAGATTGTTTGGGTTGTTGGTATCATATTTTGTTTTTTCTCAGGCTCAAGACATAAATGTGAGAACATTTATCCAGTTTATGTTAATGGAAATTTTGAAAATTCTTTACATCTCGAGGGATGATAGAGATTGTGAAAGTTGGTATATGAAAATTTATTACCACCTGGCATAGAAGTATAATATTTTTTACAAAGTTTATGTAGTTAATAAGTCGATTATTTGATCGAACTATATATCTATTCGCTTTTTTCGTATTAGAAATCTAGATTTTCGGAAAAGCCACCACAGTTTGATGCTGTTTAGCCCTAGAAAATCTAAAAAATGTATCTTCTTCAGTTTTTAAGTACGTTTTCTCATCCATTAGATGCATTTTTAAAGCATTTTAATAAAATCAAAACAAGAAACTTAAACTGGATAAGCTAGTTAGCACAAACTTATTTTAAGAACACCGTGAATAAATAGAAATGTAAAACCAACAAAACCAACAGAAGAAGAATTAAAATCAGAAGCAGCTAATAATAATGATGTATGTAATATCCATGTGAAACAACTAAAGAAACTGACTTAAAAATCCTCTGAAAACCTTCAATATTCCCATCTTAGATTCCCATATTCTTTTTCTAGGACACTGTTGCCAATTATACTTACCAATTTGTATAATCTATATCGGTATCACGGCACATGCAAACAATATGCCATGTCTGTATCATAAAAGTACCTATTTACTATATAAAAGATCAGCTGCTAAATTTTAAATCAATTTAAAATATCAAATAAAATGATAGTAGTGCATAAAACTATTAACAAATGGATATAAAACAATTAAAGATAATTTAAAAAAAAAAAAAAAAAAAAAAAAAAATTAATATTTGAAATTAACAGCTGGAGGTACAGCTAAATACAAACTGCAAGCTGACAACAAAGATCCTATTCTTTAAGAATTTTATATTTCTGATATTTTATCATTTTAATTTAAAGTCGTCATTTTCTTTATACATGTATTGATCTTAACCGATTGTTAAAGTTTGTAAATTTCTCATACTTTACAAATAAATGTTAATATTTCCTAACATCATATAAATTATGGTTATTTGTTATTATCAGGAGAAAGCTAGCTGAAGTACATATAATATTTAATTCTCACATAAAAATTCCAAGCTGGCAATATCGCTTTGACTTTATAATCGTACGTCGGCTGCGACGGCCAGACGAGACGGCGCAGTGTATCAAAGGCAAGGTTAAATGCGAGAAAGAAGGAAAGAAATGGAAGCTTAGAGAAGGGGGTGTGCGGGAACGCATTTGAAGTCACCACGGCTGTTTGTTTGGCCGAATATTTTGCCTTCATCGACGGTATCGCCGCTCTGTCGTCGCACTTCCGAACATAGGTCTTTTTGAACACAAAATTTCCCATAAGGTGTCGCATCTGTTGTGCTACCAGTAAGCGGCAAACCTGCTTGCACTGTGTTCGCACACATAGACCCAACGCTACGGCCGACGGCCTTCGCATGCTATTTGCTACGTTGTCAATATAATTATTTTATATAATTTTCTACTGAAGTGAGGTTATGTTTTAGGGGTTCTGTGGTTTTGAATTTTTGGTTAGCTTTTCTTTGTGGAGGGTGTAAGCTGTGATTTTTATATTTTAATAATTAACTGTGATTTTGCAAAAATATTATTAGATTGGTTAGCATTTGGGTTGCTTTGGTTAGCTTTTCTTTGCGGAGGGTGTTAAGCTGTGGTTTTTAAATTTTAATAATTAACTGTGATTTTGCAAAAATATTATTAGATTGGTTAGGGTTTGGGTTGCTTTGGTTAGGTTTTCTATGGTGAGGGGTCTTTGAATAAGAAGACTAAGGAAGTAGCATAATTCTATCCATGTATTCATGCATGGTGGGCGGAAAAGCCACCATAAAAGCTCTCTAGGGTGGGGATCCTTGACAGTTCTGTTTGACGATTCATTTGACACATTTGAATTTAATTTGAAATTTTGTGGATTTGTCATGGTGGGTTCATGCTTCCGATCTTAGCCCTAACACTAACATTAGTCCTAACCCCAAGAATATGAATCAAGGTTAACGAACGCTAACGTTCATGCTCTCATTGTATCGGTCCTAACATTAGTCTTAGTCTTAACAGGTTGGGATATTTTATATTCTTAGGGCTAATGCTAATTCAAAACTGAATCGCGCATGCTCAAAGCTAAGGGTTTTAAGAATTCTCGAAATAATATCTGACATGTTGAATTTGACGGTTTATAAATGTTAATAAATCATATATTTTTTGGTCTAGAAAGTATTAATGTAAAAATTCGTTTCTCTAGTATTAGAAATAATAAAAATAATTGTAAATTTAGGTTAGTTCAAAACATATGTTTTATATGAGCGCAAGCGCTTACGAGAATATTGATTGTTTTCTTAAGACAAGTAGGAGAAGTAAGAACGGCCTTTCCTTAAGTTCTCAAGGTTAATTTCTTAGGGTTAATGTTAAGGTTAAGGTTAGGGCTAATACTCGAAGTATGAACCCACCTTAAGTCTTTACGGAGCTTATTTTATGTTATTTATCATTTATTCTACTACTGATAGTTGTATAAAGGTAGTAAATCTAGCTGGAAATTGTGGCAGAACTTAAATTAACAGTGACACTATCGCGATTTATCGAAAAAGACTCTAAAATAGTTGGTTGTGTAGCGTGCGGTAGATCTCGGCAAAAATTGAGTGAAATAATGGGAACAACTTTTCGCTAGTAAGTGACTATATAATATACATACGTGTAGTAAACCGATCATTTATGAAATTCACTTAAATTAACTAAAATATATATTTTTCTTGCATTTTAGCTTTTATTTATTACTTGTCAAAGATTAGATGTCAAAGAATTTAGATACGTTAATTTGACTTACCTGCTTCAGTAGCGTATCGGATGTTTGTGGTAATAAATACTTATTATAACTTATCTATTTTTATTAGAATTATATATTTTATAACAATTTTAATAACTACCAACATTTATTCACAACGTAAAATAAAACAACAAATTATTGAGTCTACCCCACGTCTACCCTACATCATAGTTTTACATTTTTTAAATAAAATTAGAACGACACTGATAAACCGGAATTTAAGTCGGCCATATTTGAGGCCCATCGCGGTGTACCTAAGATTTTTGACATAGAATAACTAACTGAATACGCTTTCGTCCGTACTTGAACTCATTGCTTTAAAAACTAAACTACAGTAAGTAAAAAACACTTCGACTATAACTAAATAGCGTTGCCGCGTTTCAAAAGTGCGCTATAGTGGGCGCAGTCCCTTCGCAGCCGGAAAAAATTCTCTTCCCAGCGCCGCGCCGCGCAGCGATCTAGTGGGTGACAACCATAAAATAATAAATACAAGAAGAAGTGTCAACTCAATGTTAAATTATGGAAACAGCGTGGCTGCCTGGGTAACTAATTTTCAGATATGGTGGCTGGGACATTTGACATGACATAGACATGACAATTTCAATTTTATGAAATTTATTTCCGTTTCCGGTTTTTAATGGCGGGCTGTTCAGGAGGTTTAAATGAGGGTTAATATACTTTTTACTCTTTCTAGTGGTAAATAATACAACAAAATTACTCAAAATATTTATTTGGAATTTAGAACAATGTAAATATGCAAATCAACACAATTAAAGAGCTATAATCCAATAAACTACTGTATCAATATCAAATATTTAAATAATATCAGAGATGCTGTGTTAAAGTGAATTAGTAAAGTAACAGTGCATTGACTTACAGAAACTTGAAGATAAATAAATGTTTTCACAGCTTCGCGGGCATAAAACTAAATAACTGGAAGCAGGAAAAAGGCAACCGGAACCCACACAAAACCTGAAATCAAAAAATATGTAAAAACATAAATATAGGCACATAAGACTTTGTGAATTAAATCAAACAGGACTTGAATGAAAATAAAATGAATAAAAATATGATACATATACATCTAATACCTCATTTGTATTTTAAAAATAATCTACATACATAGATTTATAGCATTATTGCTATAAAATACATAATAGGTACCTATGTGATATGTAATTACGCATTTCTGTTCATCTTGTAGAAAATTAATGTAGGCTAATAATAGTTCAATAATCATAATTTACCTTGTATAACTTGCTTTCAATTGCTCAAAATCACCGATCAGTCTTTAAAGTAGAGATACGGAAAAATCCTTGGCAAAGAATATCCCAAGATCCTTGGGTTTAAAGCTAAAAAATATAAAAACAGTTAATATATTACCTACTTTTACATATAATATGGCCCATACCTACTACACGCAGAAACGTCGATTTCATCATTTTCTTCATGTAATTAATATCATATATACTTTATTAAAGTGTTAACAAGGAACTTTATATCAAAAAACATATTTGTACTTATAAATTTCAGCCGAAATATCAGAAACAAACTTCCAATCAAATCTAAACGGCAAAAATTAAAATGGCGCCCGACCTTGCCAGAGGCCTCGGGAGCTGACGTTGACACACAGACAAAAGACAAAAGAACAGGACGCCGACGTGCATAAAAATGTTCCGTAGCAGAAATTGACAGAAATCATATAGAAATATTCAGATTTTTTCTAGGACAGTCTAGAAGGCCATGCTTTCTGCCTGGGTAGAACCGCGCCACAACTGTTTCAAAAGGAGACGTTAACTGAAATATTTACTTTACTAACCTAACATCCAGAAATAAGAAGAAGAAAGCACCATTTTGATACATAAAGATTGGTTTAATCCAGTTTAATCAGAAATCTCTATTTAATTAATATTTTTATTCAACAATGGCAAATACTTTGTCAGGAGTGTTTAGAAATTATTTATTATCCACTTCAATTTCCAGAATAAATAAATTAGGAGTTTTATCGGATTATGCCCCAGGTATTTTCTTATATAATTCATATGTATTTAAATATTTCAAATTCATTTTTAGGACTTAGGAAGCTATATGCTAAAGCTACGTTGGGCATACCTGCTTTCCAGGAGCAACGTGAGAGAATTCAACATCAGATGAAAAATATATCAGACAAATTCAGGGAAAAAATGTCAGAATATACTTCAGATGATTCCAAAAATATGATTTTTACCGAAGATTTGAAAAATATGATTTATATTTCTCAAGACGATAAGGACATAGAACTAGTCATCAAAATGATGAAGAGGTTGTTTAATACATGAGTGTGTAATCATAAGTTTGTTTTTCTTTTTTCCAGGTATAACACTCAAAATAAATCTTTGAGATTTGGTAATTTTATATTTGGACCAGTTATTATGAGACTGTTTTACATTCATAACAAGCCTGAATTGGCCTTGGAGGTAGAGAGCTTATTAAGCATTTCAATTATAAATGAAGACTTCAAGTAAATAATGTTCTAAGTGCCATAATCATTATTTCGTGATAAACATTTCAACACATTAACATAATGTCATTGGTTATGGAACTTGAAAAACTGATTTTTTCGCACTTAGCACATTATTTACTTCAAGTCTTCAAATTATATATTCAGTTTTAATTTCTAGTGCTTTAAATCTGATGAATTGTCTGTTTCCTTTGACCAGTTAATGTCTTACCAAATATTGCTAGATCTACTCTATGAAAATAAGAAATATAAGGAAATCCTGGAAGTTGCCAATATTATAAAAGCAAAACAAATTGAGGGAAGTATTACTCCCAAAAATGTCGTAGTTTTGGTATTAGCTGCATGTTATAAATTGGTAAGTAACTAAACATAAAACATATGGAATATTAATATTTTATATTACAAGAAATCCAAAGAATCTTTTGACTATGCAATAAAACTCTGGAGTGATCTTCAAAATACTGGACATCAACCTATGAGAAGGGCAGTCACATTTTGTGCTGCTTTAGCTTTGAATCAAGATCGACCAGATATAGCTTTAGAAGTGTTAAGCACATGCAAAAATCAGAATTACACTACCATTAGAAATTTAAAAATTTTGGCCCTGTGTAGTATAGGGCGAATAGAGGAAGTGATTCCTATATTAAAGAGTGTCCTTAATGAGGACACTCCATCAGGTTGGTACATAAAACCTTTATTAGTATATTTTCTTGTATTTTATGTGTGACTATTTGCAGTAATATCGCAGGTTCATACATTTAACAGAGATGTTATAGAGAGGATTAGGGAAAGTGTGAAATCATCAGATAATCCAGAAGTAGCCTTAGAATTTAACAGATTAGAAGAGGTATTCAAAAAGCAAGGAAACATTACTGAAAATGTACTATTATCATATTCTTGATTGGTCCTTTTGATAAACATTTTATTGATTTTAGACATTAGATGATCAACTTTGCTCAGAAATTCAACAGCCTCCTATTAGATCCAATAGGGACTTTGTTCCAAGACAACAGTTCCAGAATAGGCAACAACCTAATGACAGTTTTCAAACAAGACGTCCTAGTTACAGAAGGCCTGGCTTAGCAGACCTTGTCTAATTGTCTTATCGTTTAGGAAACTATGAAATTACAATAAAGAACTATATTTGAGACGTTTACTGCAAAAGTAGAAAAATCTATCCCTCTCTTTAAAGATAGGCCCCTTTTACATATTTTATATATGTTCGTACATAGATTTCTAGTGAAGAGGTAAAGAAATGTGAAAATTGAAAGTGCACTTTTACAATCTTCACATTTGTACGATCTATGTACAAATGTGAACTCAGTGGCTCATCTTTTAAGAAAATAGATTACTAATTTAGGCAAGTACACAAATCAAACTAAACCTGTTGATATCTAGAAACCTATATTTTAGTAGTTAGGCCACTCTTGCCGTAAACGCCTTATTTAATATTTAGACAAAAATATACTAAAGTAAAACTTTTATTAAATCATCAGTGAGGTTATTTAATCTATAACAATCCTATTCCCTCTTTGAACTCTTTTTGGTGGAACTTTTTTTCTGAGCTGATTTTGATTTAGGAACTGTTGGTATTTTCTTCAAAAAAATCATTAAAATATAGGCCACCAGCCCCAAAATAAATGTTGCAAAACCAATCTGCCATAAATAAGGATTTTCCTTCATTATAGTAACAGTTAAAGCTATTAAGTCATCAAAAGGCGATTTTGGCACTGGTATAGGCTCTGGCTTAGCATTTTTATACCAGTCCTGAGCAAAGACCACCAATGACTTAATTTGATAGTCTTGCTCATGGTATCTGTACATTTTCCCTTTTCTGAAAAGAATGAACACAGGCACATCAAACACATTAAACCTTCTAGCAGTTTTAGCACCAGCTGTTACCCTATTGACTCTTGCTACATTTATTCTTGATTTAAGGTGAGCCCCTACAGCTTCCCAGCGGGCTTGAAGTCTTTGACATTCTATACAATCAGTAGTATAAAACTGTACAAACCAATCACCTAAATAGTTGAAGCATTAATAAATGCTGTATAAATATATATGATACACTGTGTTTATAAATACCAGTAGTGGCACCAGTAGAAGATTGTGTTAAATGTTCAAAATTATCATCATTTAATTCTTTAACGGCTGGTTCTTTATTATTAGTAAATATATGTAAAATAGCTTCATCAGTTAAAGGACCATCATATAACAAGGGTACTCCGTGCCTAAAGAATACTATAGCAGGTTCCTTAAAAAAGGATTAATAGAGAAAATAAGTTTTCTATCAAATTAAGATTACCTTTGTTGGCGAGTATAAACGGGTCATTGTACTATCTACTAACTTAACTACCCAAGCATTAAGGCTCTCTACTAAATCTTCCCTTAATCCGGTCAGTTCGTTTTCAAAATTAACGCATTCTTCACAATATTTTTTAGAGAAAAGTGCCACAACATACTTCTCACTTCGGATTAAATTAACTAACTCGTCGTCTCGTACAACTTCTAATTCACATCGCACATTTGTTATAAATGCAAGAAACAGCAAAACGTCTACACGAAAATTCATACTTAATAGGAAATTATTTTATATAGATATTTTATTTACAAAATAAAACTTGTGAAATTGTTGGAATGTTGGAATTGGTTGGAATAAGTGTGGCAACACCGCCGTCACAAGAATAGACATCCCGCCGTCTCAGCTGTTCTCTCCCACTGCCGTTCTTTAAAAGATAAGCCTGGGGGCGGACTTTTGTTTACTTCATCAGCTGTACATACTTAGATATTGGGTTAGATTCCGTTTCATATTTTGTCGGTTGATTTTTGGTTTTAACTCTTTGATTTTTGGTATTATTTATTATTGTAGTGCAAAAAACTAATTATTTTGGTGTTTAAGTGACATAAACTACTACCAGATTTTTGTACACATGTTACACTTCTAGGTACAGTCGACCAGCTCTTCCTCATCCAGCCTATGTTGTCCACGTCTTTCATATTATCAATATTTTTTTTCTTGTTATACACATATATTGAGATATTAATACTACAGTTTAATAAAGTGTAGGTTTTAATATTCCATAGATGTATTAAATAGTCCTTATACTACTAAATTATAAGTCGGATACTGTTTAATAAGGATAAGTTCTTTACAATATGGACAACACCGATTAGAGGCGAGGGAGCCTATTCATTCATTTATTACCTTGTAGTACGTGTCGCACGTGTGCGAGTAAAGCTTTGTTGCCGCTATCTCCCCGGCTGTATTAACGCATTTTCTTAGCTTGTAGTCCTTAAGTGTTTATTTTATTGACTTTTTTCTGTTCAAAAACTATAAAATATGGTTCGCCAGTGCCAAATTCTGCAAGAAATTTGGCTTAAATAATCCATTTAAGTCTTGAAGCGACTTTTGACCAGGTAGGCAACTCTCAATTTACCCATTGGCAGTCAGTGGCGTTGTTGTAGAAAGGCGCTTATTTAGATAATATTTTAGCCCAAAATGTAAAATCTGAATTTTTTCTTTTACACATTACATTATTTACTTACTTACATTGTAAATAAAATCATAATTATAACCCTTCTGTTAATAATTAATAATGTTTTTTATTAAAAAATATATTCAGTTTATTCTAAAATTATCTTCAGAATCTAAAATAACATACAAAATTTTAAAATGATATTACATTATGAAACATTATTTTTTAATATACCGGGTCGTCTCAAAAGTCTAGCTCAACCCTACTAACTTTTTTATTTTTCAGATAAAAAAACAGATTTGTATGTTAGTAGGTATATGACATAAAATTAGGATTTATTGACGTATTCAATTGTTTTGGTCTCTTCCTGTTTCTGAAATGATTACATCTTTACGATTTTAAAGGCACCCTCGGTATATTGCTACTTTATTCGATAAAATGACACTCTGAATAGAATGACATATCATATGCCAACTTTTGACATTGTCGCTTAAAAAACATATCCTATTTTAAATTTCAATCCAGTTTTTTCAATCCCACTATGTTTTAATCAAAGGAGCCTTGGAAAATGGAGTTTGATCGTCTAATAGGTTTCGTGTCTTGTCTAGGCCGGTTAAAGATGTACAAATCGTATTTTTAATCATACATATGTCAATTTTTCAAATGGAACAAGGGTGACTCATTAGCATATTTGGAAAAAGCATTTTTTTTATGAATATATTGATACCACACACACTTGGTATTTCTTTCGAGTCAAATTGTCGTTATGAACCGCGTGTTACAATTACAATTAAACCATATGCGAAAAATGTCCAAAAGTTGACATATGATATGTCATTCTATTCAGAGTGTCATTTTCTATCGAATAAAGTAGAATATACCGAGGGCGCCGTTTAAAAATTAAAAGTTATAGTCATTTCCGGTTAAAAAGGAAGTGACCAAAAACAATTGAATGCGTCAATCAATCCTAATTTATTTCATATACTAACATACTAAATCTTGTTTTTTTATTTGAAAATATAAAAAAATTATGGGGGATGAGCCACTTTTGAGACGCACCTGGTATAATAAAGACAGTACCGAGTTAAATAAATGTAGTTTTTATTTTATCACCTTCCTTGCTTTAATGGAACAGATTTATGTTTTCTCTAATTTACATAATAAGACATCACTTAACCAGAAACAAAATTACAACAATCATATTTTTTTTTCTCTCCCTGTCGCCGATTCTATTATATCTGTGGAATAGATCCTGTTTTGATTAATATTAGGGGTTGTAAATGTTTGACTAAAATTAATAATTTATTATTAATTTCAAAAATTACCTAATTTCAATTATAAAATTTCTTCTATAACGTGTATTTTATTATTTTTATCCTTTTTGGACTCTAAATTGTTTTTTCTAAACTTATATTTAAAAAACCTGTCCTAAATCTTAATAAAATATAAAAAAGTTTAAATACGATATATTTTTAATTTAATTATAGCTTCATTAAAATAAAAAAATTACCCGGCTATGATACGGAGAGTTCAGGTGTACTTGAGAAACGAAAGTTTGTGTTGTGTTTCTCGGCAGAGTCGTCAGGGAACGACCGTTACGACAGAGACAACCTATCTATCGCTCGTGTCGCACTCGTTATAACCTAAAACTCTTACTTTTAAAACTACATAAACTACATTACATGTAGTTAATGTAGTTTATGTGTGTAGCTGATGCTAACTTATGTATCGCCGCTTTTCAAATATCAAGGGTTTGAGATTTGTGAGGTTTTAATGGGATTTGAAGCTTTAAATACATCCAGCTATTTATGAATGAGATGCCTTTCAGTCTGGCTATTTTATTTTATTTGCACTATGGTTATAACTCTTTGATTTTTGTATTATTTATTATTGTATGCAAAAAACTGATTATTTTGGTGTTTAAGTGACATAAACTACTACCAGATATATGGTAACTCTCGGTTTCGCATAAAAAAATAGAAAAATTGAAAAATTACACGTTGTGTAAGTGATTTAACCTAAAAGTGCCCATACATTTTTTACTTATCGTGATTTTTGTGTGTGTTTTTTAAGACTCTAACAATTCATCAATAAAGCTTAAGTGGAGTGTGTTTTTGGTGCTATGCTTCATCTTTGTTGTGTTCCTGGTGGAAAGGATAGTTATATTAGGCAGCCTAAAGTGTCCGGAAGAGCAAGAAAAGTGGGTACGAATTATAAATCAAGAGAATTCTATTGAAAATATCTTTAATAAATTTAAAAATAATATTCTCCCATGATGGTATTAATGAAAACTAGACAACTATGTTTATTTTATTCATATTGTGGAATCTCCACTCCAAGTGTTGTTGGTTCAGCTTCGATAGATTCAAACACGTAAGTAGGTATTATGATCTAGGGAAAAATAAAGAATATGTGTATTAAAGATCATGAAAAAGATTATTATTTTGAGTTCAAATTTTAAAAAAGATTTTTGTAAAGACAAGACTGATACAGTTTAAAAGAAGAATGTGTTTTTGTTTGATAATATATAATGTATGTATTATTTATAATACCAAATTAATATCAAATATTTAAGTGATGGCTGAATACAATATGAATAAAATAACAATAAAATTGGTATATTTGCATAATACAAAATTAAGTTTTAAGAATAAAGGTGTTACTAAAAATACTAAGAAATTCATATTTATTTGTTTTAATTGGTCTAATGTTATTTACATTTTATGTAAGAATTATACCGTATCATCGAAAAAAATCGGCGTCTAGTTGGCTTGGAAATGAACATCGATGACATGCCCTAAATAACTGTACACATAAAATAATTAACTAGAATTTTACAATCTTGGAAAATTTGATATTCTTGAATCTTGTTTCTAAATATACTAAATTTTTTGATTTTCTTGGGATTTAGGTTCGGGAAAAACGCTGATTAAGTTTTCATTTGGTTTTTCATTATTTTTATTTGGTTTAAAAAAAAAACGGTTCGGCTAACATTATAGCCTTCATCAGTGTTGTGTCATATGAAAAAAATAGTGTCGAATATAATCCAAAAAATTACATATAAAATATTCATACCACGCACATAATGTTTACTGCGTACTGCGTACTCCATAGTCAATGTAGATAATTTTAGTGTTAAGAATAATAATTTTAAAAAATATGTGGTCATGTTTTGATTAGTTTATATTAGTTTATTAATTGCAGTAAATATTATGAGGTGTGAATTATATTGTATATGTAATTTTTTGGATTATATTCGACACTATTTTTCTCATATGACACAACACTGATGAAGGCTATAGTTAGCCGAAACGTTTTTTTAAACCAAATAAAAATAATGAAAACCCAAATGAAAACTTAAATCAGCGTTTTTCCCGAACCTAAAAATCCCAAGAAAATCAAAAATTTTAGAATAATTTTACATATAAAATGCCAGCGATCTTCATTTCATAGCCATCGCTGACGCCTTTTTTAGATAATATTGTATTATTTGTAAATATAATTTTTCGAAGATTGATACTTGCAAGATATACATATAAATTTTGTGAATGCAAATAATAATACATCACTATTATTAGATATTGAATGTTTTTTGTTAAATTAGATCGATTTTCAAACCCCAAAATTTAAAATATATTTACATTTTACCCATTATGTTATGTACCTATACACTATTTGTACATCGTAAAACATTTGCTGCATTTGTATGGTTCATAGTTTATTTGCCAAAGTATTTATTACTACAAATAGGTATATATGTTGTAATTATTAACTGTATATTATGTATATTTAATGTAAACTATATCATTTTTAAAATACAAACCAAAAATCTGAGGAATAATTATGTTTTCCATGTATTCTACAACATATTTATTAATCCGTTATATCTAACTAGCGTGACGTCATAAATCTCGCCCACTGGCTGATCTTTTAATAGAAGGCACTGGCTTATACAACTTCACCATAACCTAAAAATGCACTTTTAATTTATTTATTTATCAATAAATTGTGGTTCATCCGCAATTTTTTTTTGCTTAAAATTCTTATTTAAGTGTATGCTTTCGACTGATATATTAATAAATGCCAAATTCGGAGGGTGTTATATCTGACAAGCACCATATATATTTAAGATTCAAATATTATGACATATATGTCAGTTGCCGTCTAAATCAGTGTTACCAACTCCGGGATTTTATCCCTAAATTTGGGGAGAAAAAATCTATATGGGGATTTTTTTAGAGAGTAAAATTTTTTGGGGATATTTTTCATATACGTATTACTTTTTACAAATATACTCAGCCTAATCTCCAAAAAGTGAAGCCCAAACAGTGAAAGAACAATATGGAATTCTGCATAAGTCTAT